AGAATAAACTGGATGTGAATTGGATAGGGCCGGGTAAAGTGATAAATAAAATTTCAGAGACTAATTATGTGATAGATTTACATGAAAAAAAAAGATCGTAGTACTATCTACCATATGAATTTAATAAAGCCCTATCATAAGATGCCGGAATTAGTAAATCTTGTCATAAAAAATATCGCTGACGAAATAGAGAGAGATGTTGAAATTCCGTATCCGGATAAGCAATGCACGAAATTCGACTATCATGAGATACTGAGGAAAAGTCAGTTGCAAGACAAATTAACTCTTGACCAAATTGACGAATAAAAAAATATAATTTCTAAAAATAAGGAAATATTCTCCCCCCATCCTAGGAAGACTCATTTAATGCAAATGGATATTGAGTTAATTACAGAAAAGCCAATTAAAACAAATCTTATCGTATGTCGTCAAGACAGATTAACATCCTAAAAAAGGAAATTTAGCGGTTATTAGATTTAGGTGTAATCGAAATTTGCCAGTCCAATTTTACATCGACCCTTATTTTAGTAGAAAATCCAAATACAGTTCCCTGTCTGTGTGTTGACTATCGACGCTTGAATAAGGCGACTCGAGCTAAATTCTTTCCATTACCAAATATGGAAGAGATTGTAGAGAAGGTAAGTGCGGCACCATATGTTATGGTTATGGATTTGGCAAAGAGATATTTTCAAATTCCTCTTACATCTAGAGCTCAGAAGTACGCAGCATGTATCACACCATTTGGCTCTTACATACCTAAAAAGATGATGTTTGGATTAGTATGCGCGTCCTATTATTTTTGTAAATTAATGGCCCAGATTTTGGAAGGGTTGGTGCATTTTACCTTACCTTATATTGACGATATTGCCATTTTTACACAAGACTGGAAAGATCACGTAAAACACATTAGCATTGTTCTATAGGGGTTAAAAAGGGCGGGTTTGAGAGTGAATCTGTCTAAATGTAAGTTCGCGTAGAAGAAGATTTTGTTCCTGGGACAAAAAATTGGTTCGGGGAGCAGATCCCCTAGCTATTTGAAGATAAAAGCCATAAAATATTTCCCTCAGCTCACAACTAAAACACATGTGCGGTTTTTTCTTGAATCAGTGGGTTATTATATTCATTATATTCTTAATTATAGCGCTATAGCTTCACTGCTAACCGATGCTCTGAAGGGAAAAGTTAAGAAAGAGAAAATTAATTGAGATGACAATTGTGAGAAAGCTTTCGTTGAGCTTAAGTCCAAACTTGTCTCAAAGCCAATTTTATTCACCCCGGATTTTTCTAAAGAATTCATCTTGCAGACAGACGCAAGTAAGGTGGGCGCGGGAGAAATTCTGTCTCAAAGGATAAAAGAAGAAGAGCACCCAATCGTTTATTTAAGTAAGAAATTTTCGAAAGCGGAAAAAAGTTGCAGTACAATGGAAAAAGAGTTAGCCGCAATAATTTTTAGCCTGAAATGTTTAAAACACTTCTTAGATGGGCAAACATTTATCATAGAAACTGACCACAACCCTTAAAATGTTTAAACAAAATGGGGAGTACCAACTCGAGGCTACAAAGATGGGTGTTGAGTTTACAAGCTTTTAACTTTGAAATCAAATATAAACCAGGGAAGCTCCATGGCAATGTCGATGGATTAAGCAGACTAGAATAACACGTCTTTAGAAAAAAAAAATTTGTATTTTTTATTTGTACTTTTTGTAGATTAAATTATATGTTTTTCTTTTTTGAATTTTCAATATCTGCCCAATTTACTTGCGATTAAGTCAAGAAACACCATTGAAAACTGTTATTTCCTGTGATATTTGTTTCAGATCATTCTTCGATATATTCTTCTGTCCTTCTTCGGTAAATTTTTCCGTTGTGCCCGGATTTGATTCCTCTAAGTTTGACAATTTTCTTTTTATCATTATAGGAATACATTTTTCTTCAAATCGGGATTTATATTCAAGGACAAAATTGTTCAAAATAAGACTGACTTCTGTAGCTGAAATATGTTCACCTCCAATCTTTTGAATCGTTTTGCGGAAAATAGATATCTTATTATGCAAAAAATACATTAATATCTTTGAAAATTCATAATTCAAAAAAGATTAAAGAATTTTTGGACATTTGTCTAAGCTTAAAAAAAAAAAAAAAAAAAGAACGGAGATGCTCAAATAATGAAAAAATGCACTCTATAGTAAAACTTAGGGCGAGCCATACACATCTAACTTTTGAATATCTTAAATTTTTTTTGCATTCAGCATTTGCGTAACAATTTGGTGCGGCATTTCTGGATACATAGATTAACAATTTAGTTTTAAGGTATAGATAAAGAGGACACTTTTCGAGGAAGGATAGAACCTACAAAAAAAGGACGATGGGTCACTTTAATATTATGATACAACATTTTGAGATTCCTACAAATTGTAAGGGCATGTTTTGGATTGAAAACTTCGAACTTGCTTTCGTCGGGTAAATTACATCTTTCCAGAAATTTAATTGTTTGTCTCTATGCTTTTTGGCAAAATCTAATTGTATTTTTTTCACTGATTTTTTGAAATATATGGTTCCATCCTCGGTTGTTTTCCTTTTATGCCTGCATCATGCAAAACATTTCTAACTGTCTGAGATGTTACAGTCTTTCCTAATGGTTTTCACTGTCTGCAGCCAGCATCTGAACACTTCTCGATGGAATTTTAAGAACATATTTCACGAAATCCCACATTTCTCTCATATAGTCGATTTTCTTGGTCCCCCTGATCCACTACACCAGTCTCATTTTACTTTTAATAATATTATTGATTGAGCACAACGAAATATTTAAATCTGGAAATTTCCCGAAACATTTTGCCAGTATGGTGCAGATAAACAATTTGTTCCCTCTTCGCAAACGAAATCTCTTTTGTTTTACAGGCCATGCCAGGAAGTTTACCCAAAATCTGATTTAAATGAATTGGAGAGAGGGGGGGGGAGAAACTAGCATCTCTCTCTCTCTTTTTGACTGAAGTTGATTTGAGGGTGAAAATTTAATGATGTCACCGTTGGATAATCTCCTTTTCTATTCAAATATTTTTTGCCGAGTTAATTTTATTTTTATTTTAAAAATTTTGCATTCGCCTTAAATATTTATTTTTTTTCTTAATACCATCTTGTGAGAAACGATACCTTACAAAAATTTGTTAATCGATTTGTTTCATTTCATTAGCTTGACAATTCCAACTTTTTCACTGTATTTTAATACTTTTTTTTTGACAACTGTATGTTATAGTCTAAGTAAGCACCGAATCAAAACGCATGATTGTTTACCATGATCAAAATTGGTTTTTAAAACATTTGAAAACTTCGAAAAAGATTGAGCGCATTAACTTAAAAATGAAACATTCATAAATAAAATAAACAAGTACAAACATAACATTTTTAATTTGGGATTTGTTGCTAATATGGTATTAATTTAAGAAAAATTCTGGATTACTATGAATTCAAGCATTAGTGTTACAAAATTTGAGTTGAAACATGAATTGAATAATTTCATTTTTTGAAGAAATAATGCTATAAATCATCCATTCAACATACACATTTGATGAAATGATAATAATAGCAAGAACCTAAAAGTAGAGAAATCTTTTGATTAGTGCAATCAAGAGATCCTAAAGATAAACCGCATTTTTCAAATCTTTACTGACCAAACTTATTAAGCAATGGAAATAATTAAGATAAATCCGGAATTATCCATAAAAGTTTTTAGTTTATTCTTAAGATAATTAATAAATCTTTAATATTATAAATATTATGTACGATTTTACACAGAAATTTAAAAATATTACTAGAAAACGAAATAAAAAATACTCAAATATAATCTAAACACAACATAATTTAATAGTACAATTAAAAAGTCCCAAAAAATTTTGTGAGCAATATAGATCTAACAATAATTATTAAATTCTGTTATGTTACACACTGATATACATGAACATTTCTAATCACACAATATTTTTAAATAAAAGGGGTTTCCTTTGAATCTAAAATGTTTCCGGGTAATATAGGCAATGGAGTTACTTTCAATTCAAGGAAAATATATTTTCCCCATCATCTTATAACTTAAGTATAAAATTTGTTTACTATTCTTGCGATGAAGGTGGTGGCGAGGTAATAAATAGCAGCGATTATTTTCAGAATTTGCCTGTAAAAATTAAATAGGAAAAGAAACGGTATTAAGGCTAATCAATTACTTATCAGATTATTTAGCGACGATTTCCGTCGCCAATAGAGGTACTGTCATTCCTTCCATGAAGAAGGATTAACCAGAGTTTTTTTTTTTTTTTTTTTTTTTTTTTGTTAATTACCCCAAAAATTTCGCTTAACAACAAAGTTTTTTTTTCTTTCTTTTTAAATTAAAGTTTTACCTTGAAATATGTATCATTAACTATCATGAAACGTTGAAAAATAAAAAGGTTATTCGTTGCATTCTGTTATTCAACAAAATTTTCGCTGTCTACGGGTTGCTGCAGTATGATACAAATCCCTGGTTATCAACAAGTTTTAAATGCATTTGATAAAATAGAAAGAGTAAAAGCTGTTATAAGACAGGATTAAGTGATTACGTTCACATTTCTGATAACTGTAATTTTAAATTTAGAAGATGAAAAAAAGTAATCTTTGTTATTATAAACACACAAGGATAAAGTCACATGTTTCAGGAAAAAGCATTCGATTTCAGTTTTAGAAATTCATTTACTCCATTGAAAATTTCCGTGGATATTTTCAAGAGTATCTTCTGGTCTAAAATTGGGGTTCTTAAATCTTATTCATTACCCTTGGATTTAATCAATTTTGTGGAACAATGTCATCTTAAATGCAACTTTATCATGCATTCACCGTAACAATATTTTAACGTCATGACATGACTTCAACGATATGTATATAAAAACGCTTGATTGAAATTATAAGGATTTACAATGCTGCACGAAAAATAATTATTATGCATTACTATTTGAATATAAATAAAGATAGTTGGGGGTATAGCTCAGTGGCAGAGCATTCGACTACAGGTCGACCGTCCCTGGTTTAAACCCGGGTGCTCCCTTACAAATGTTCAATTGTTACTCAAATATATGACAGATTTTGATTACAAACCGGCAGTTTATGATTCGATCTTTTTCTGGAAAGGACGCCATGTGACAAATATTTTAAAAATGGCAATATCGCACAATTTTTTTTTAATACAATGATTTATATCATAATAAATTACAACTTTCATCAATGACCGATTACTAAAAATAATACATGAATCGATCTACGTGGTTACGGCGATTAATATAATTTTTAAAAAATATTTTAAGTATAAATAAAAAATAGAATAAAAAAGGGAATAAAACTTATTTTGTTCCATAAAAAGCGTGTGCATGGAGTCCAAAATTTAAAGGTCCTTCACCAATTACCTAAGTGTTGCTTTAAGTGTAACGTTAATAAACAATCAATCACCTATTTATTATCGAATAATATGTATTTACTTACCAAAAACAGAAGTTTTATTTCCAGCTTTTAAATATTTTTAAGGAATCAATTTTCTTTCAATTGAAACAATCAGTTTTAGTAAAATTCCTCTGTAGTCTTATTTGTGTATGTTATTAGTGAGACGGCATCGATAACAGGCGGAGTTCATCATAGATAGTCAGTCGTATTCAATTAAGAAATAGTGTATAAATGATGAACAACTCGAAAGAAAAGTTCGTTCCACACTCTATCCGTTTGCAAGAATATTGACAGAATTTTTAAAATTGTATTTATTTATTGTTTTTTTCTTTTCTTCTTTTAAATTTGAGAGAATTAGTGATGCCAAGAATTAAACAGTTAACCAGTGGTTAAAACTACTGAGGGAAAGAAATAAGAAATATATATTTATATTATTTTTTGAGAGATTATTATGTTTACGTTACATATCATATTTTCACGCTCTTGGTAGATACTGTCAGTTTTATATGTTGTATTCTCAATGGCGAAATATCTTACCATAAAATGGAAATAAAAACGTAAGCCGTTTTCCTTTCTTTCGCTTTTGAAACAAAACTAACCGAAGAATTTGAATTTAAAAATTAAAAAAAAAAAAGTTAGAAGTCAAATTTCTTTCTCAATATCCAATGAAGATTGTCTTCATAATGCTTCATTTTCAACAATTCAGCCGGACCCCGTTATGTCACTGTAGTTCATTGTTGCTCGTTAAGACAACTGCGAGTTTCTGTGGCAATGTTAATTGAGCGATATTAAATCAATTCCAACATCGATATGAATTTTTGCATTACGCTTGCTCTCTTTCTCGACATTATTTTTGTTAAATACATAAATTATTTTTGCAAGAAGGGAAAAAAGGATTCTTAAAATCAACCATATAAAAATAGCCGAATGTACTACTAATCTCACTGACCGCGAGATCATGAAAATAATCTCTTATAAAAAAGGTTCGAATGGAACATTTTACTTTGCAAGAACTGGTGATTCATGTCCAATGCAAACATTCAAATCAAAAAGACAGATTAAAAGCATTAAAATGTTCGATTTTCTTTTAGCTCAAAACATTCAAAAGATTCGTTTCAAACACAACCTTTTCTTCATCTGCACTTAATCAAATTTTCTCTCTTTTGTGGCGAAAGTCACATTTGTACTTTACGATCAGACTACTTGCGCCCTTTAGTCGCCTTGCCCTCTTGCCTTAGATTTTGAGAACACAGACACTCTTTATATCTTATTTCTCATTATTTCGCCACTTCATTACTTTGACTTGAACAGTGATCAGGTTTTGTGACCGTCGCCTTGTTTTAAAACACTTTGCTTCAAGTGTGTTGGACACTAAAAATGTACAAAATGCTTTAGCGAATCAGTCAAAGTTGTAGCAAAATAAATAGAATCAGAAATTAATTATTTACGAGTTTCTTATTTAAAGAGACAGTATTTAAAGAATAGTAGAAATTTAGAATATACATAATTATAATTAAAAATGTACTTGAAATATTAAAACGACAGTTATATATACATATTATCGGATTTTGAAAAATTAAGCAAGTATACACAATAGTTCTTAACAAGATCCCTAATTAAATGATATACTTTGTTGAATAATTGAAAACGCAAAAGTAATTTGTAAAATGAATTTGGAAAATGAATTTGTAAGTTTCTTCCAATATTTGCATTATCATTTCTCCTACCTGTTTAGCTTGATCATAGTTTGTAAATTTTGAAAACTCTAGAATTTGGATTAAAATATACAGAATTGAATTCGATCTTTTTTTTCTCATGTTTTTCTCTCGAATGTTATAATAACAAGTAAGTCAACAAGTCAAGTCCAACATAATGTAGCAGAAAAAAAAGTTTTTGGATATCTTTTTTATCACTACTGAAATTCTTTGCTTACTGCAGGAAAAAAAATGCAGTTCCTTAAATCATTACTATTTTATGTATTGATAAACATTTAAACTTAGAAATGTTAAATCTCTTGATTAATAATCGATCTGAGAAGAATAACACAAACCGTACTACAAAATATTTTTTTACAAATCTTTTTGAACGTTTTAATTTTCTAGAGTCAGACAATCACAGTATTACTGTTTGCATGTCCTTTTCTTGTATTAAAACAAAAGAAAGTATTTAATATAATACAAATACGGTTGAGCTGATTTTATTTCACGATTTGTGTTATTTTCTTGGAATATTCTTTTCAAGTTAAATTTTAAATGACTTTAAAGCTTGAATAAATAAAATAATAATAATAATAATAATAAAAATAAAACGTAGTCAAATAAAGCTATGCATTACTGGTATCTTTCTGTATCTGTTTTATAAAAATGACGAATAATAAGTATTAATTTATGTTTCGTTTTTTGAAAAAAAAAAAAATATTTAGGGAAATGTGTATTTACTTCGAATCTATGAGAAATGTACACAAGATAATATATATGGAGGTTTGGATTTTAAATTATATTTTTTTCCAATATAAGTCAAGTTGATGGCATCGAAATTACATCCTGTAAAAATATTGAGCATATTTATTTGAAACCTTACACTTCTTAAAAATGTAGATTCATATCTTTTTATATGGAATCTTAACTTTGAATATGTACTTTAATTTTTAGAACTGTCCTCATACTTATCGGGACAAGAGGCATATTTATATGCAAATGAATTATTTTGTATTAGTTTTTGTTAAAACTAGATGGCAGTACGGGCGTAAGAATCAAGAAGAGTTGTGCAATGGGATTCTAACAATAAGTATCAAGAAAAAAGCATGTTCTCTCCCACCCAGCACACCGATACGAAGAACTAACTTCCAAAAAACTATCTTCTGCGTTAGTTTGTAAATATAGATTCATAAAATTGATTATTATTTATTTTTTTTTTCATTTTGCTGTTTGAGTTTTTCAGCAAGTCGTTGAAATGTTTATGTATGCTAAAGATAACTACGTTTTCTACATAAAAACACTCGGTTGTGGGAGAGGTTTGACCCGAAAAGTTTAAACATTTATTTGTGTAATGGTAAAGTATAAGAGCTAAATACGATGTTCTTTAATAAGATATAAAGTGTCCGAAGTAGCCTAGTGGTCGTGGACGTGCGGCCGGCGGATTTCGTCGAATCGTGGGTTCCAGTCAGCTAAAGATCCGCCGTGATTCCGAGATTGTTGCACGTTGAATTCGTCGAAGCTCACGCGGTCCTCCCATTAGCGTAGTACGGAAGTTAGGAGAGGGAGGTGCTAGCTCAGATGTCGTCCTCGTTACTTGATCGAGACTCAAAATTACAAGGTCCCCCCCGTATTGCTTCTAGAGCGACGTTAATGGAACCAATCCAATCCATTTCTTTCCAAATGAACATCTGACAGTCCTACAAAAGGAATAAAACATTACAGGGTAAAAGTTTCTTTCCAGGTACTGGGACATGAGTGGTACAGCAATTCATTAAAGTATTTCAAGCATGAAATGTAGGAGTTTGTTTATGAGCTACATATGCCTATAAGTTCAAATGCATATGTAAACATTTCGCATAGTTTTAATATATATAAGCATGAATATTTTCGTCTATTCACTAATTATTAGCGATTTTATTTGTCGTAAAAGACCAGAATTGTAACTTCTTAATTAAAATCATCTCTGTTTTTTTTGCATTTCATGTAACACAAACAATTATCATTTTGTTTATATGTTATTTATATAAGTGTTTCCTAACTTCTCGACCGCGGGACTTTGCTGACGATTAGAGAAAAATCTAACTTTTAAAGTCCTTTCTAAGGTTATTTATGCCTCTCAAGTACTCCTTGTAAGTCTGAATATATAAACAATTGTACATTTCACTAAAGAGAGCACATTAAATATACATCCTAATTTGAAATAATTAAAAAATTTACATGTTCTCAATTCAACAATTCTTTCAATAAATTACACCGCTAATTCACCGAAAACTCTTGATTCTTGATTTTTGCTGACATCAATCAATAGGCCATATTCAACTAAATAATCCAATATTTTGGGAAGTGAGCTGAAAACATTGATAATTTTTTTCATGAAACTGAAGACCCATATAAAGGTAATCCCTGAATTAATAATACTTTTTTGGAAGATGTAAATTCACCCGCACTTGATCCTCATGACAAGAAAAAACTGATCGAATTGCCTTCTGATGTTACTTTTGGGTCCAGATTGTTTTCAATATTTTATGCAATTTCTATTATCTGACTTTTAGTGACAGCATTTACAGAAATGGGTTATATCACAATACAGTACTCTCTCTATATTTCGTCACTTTATTTTTTCAGCCCTGCCAGAGCATACTGCCTAGCATATATATATGATAAGCAATTAAATTATTAAAAACACATAACAAATAAGAGAACAGTTAAAATCCAAAAATTAACAAAAGAAAACATTTGTAGAACTATGTAAAATAAATGAATAAAAATTGAAATAAAATTTGAAACAAAATGAATAAATTAAATACCCAACAAAGCAAAACATGCACATTCAGACTGGGGATTGAATTGTGGTGTTAAAGATGTTCTATGGTACCAGCCTTCCCCCAGGTCATGTTGTTGGACAAAAATTGGA